AAAAAATTTTTCGGGTGGAAAATTATACCAATCAAATACACTTGAAATCATTTTCCTTGTAAAACATTTTCTAAACAAATTTTTTCCCTGTAAAATATTTTCTTTCCACCCATTTTTCACCCTTGCAATCAAACGCACCCTTAGAGAAATTATGCAATAGACTATACTTTTAATATTTCAATTATACTACTACTACTACTTTTCATTTAACAAATACTGATCTCTTTTTATAAAACACACATCCATACAAAAACACACAAACACGCACACCAACACGGTGAAACACATAAACACTGATCACCGCCGACACACTGACACACATGCAAACACCGACCATCATTGACAACCACCAAGAACCGCCATACTTGCTCCTTAAGTTGGTGAATATTAAAATTTAAAATCCAAAAGAGAATGAAAAAGAGAACAAAAGAAAGAATCAAGAAAACCAAAACTTGAGCTCAAACACGTGATCGTTGCCCTTCAACAATATTTGTCTCCTTTAGAATAATTTTGGTGTTTAAAGGGACTCGTGGAAAATAGTTTATAGGATTGAATCAAAGAAGAAAACACTAAGTGTTTTACTTTAAAAAAATTAATGAACACAAGGGGGTTTTGAATATATTAAGAGAATCGAAGAAATCTCTTTACTAGATGAAATGAATTGGTTGTTTTCAAGTATACATTGTTTGTATTGTGTTTAAGAATGGAAAACTATCTCCTATATATATAGTTTTCATCAATATACCACGAAAAGATCCCAATAATTAGTGGTGCAATCGAGCCGAGCGGTAGCAGCCCACGATCCGCTCGGGCTCGTCTGACAAGCCTGAGCACGAGTCGAGCGGGGTAGCTCGCTAAACGAACCTTAGACGAGCCTACGAGCAGAGCCGCTCGTGGGCTCGTTTTATTTTTAAAAAAAAATTAAAAGGTAAAATCAGTGACCATAATGGTCATTGAATTATTCAGTGACCGTTTTGATCATTGAATTTTTATTTTTGCATTTTTTTATAAATACACACCCCCTAATCAACATTTTTTCCCACCAATTCTCTCATTCTCTACTCTACTTTCTGCAATTCACAAATTATCAACATTCAACAATAT